ACATTGTCTTCTGCTGAGAAGAATATCTTCACTGCATTGCCTTAAGTAGCTAGGACACGTCCTACGAATGCCTGAACAACGTCCGTTATGCCATTTCTACACACCGCCTCGCTACCTTCTGGATCAGGTTTGGTTAGCCGAAGGCTCCAGCTGTAAACTCCCTAAGAAATTTTACCTGCTTTGGTCTGGGTGACCTAGTTGTATGCACTCTCGAGCTACTCATGGACCCTTTTTCTTTTTTATTATTGTGCGGTGATTTATATGGTACATAATATGAACTAAGACGCATGAAATAATATAATGGTTAATTTTTGACCTTTAAGCACCAGAGCGGGATAGACGACACCCATTATTGTAGCATCACTTAGCTTTTTCAATGTGTAAAGCGCATGCCAAATTGATTCACAGAAATTGATTGTCGGACAAAAGATGCAGTCAGGGCAATTTCAATCTCACAAATTTCCTCCAGCCGCCCATTTAATAACAACATTCTGGAACCCACGAAGTGCATTCTCCAGTACTTCGTCTACGACGAAGCTAAATTGGAATTGCGAAATAGGTTACATCTGTGGTGCCGTCGCGATATCCGTTTATCTGAAAGGATCGAGTGTTTGCTGCAGCAGTTAGGCCAGTCCTGTTCTACAGAGACTTAGACGTCACGGGAACAAGATAAGCATAGATTATCGATGTTCGAACACAGCTGTCTACGCCGCGTTGCACGAGTCTGGACAGGCAATGCTGAGGTGAGGCGTAGAGTTTTAAATAATTGAGGTCGTCCATTTGAGCAAGTTGTTGACCTCTAAGGCTACGATAGCTGGGGCGTGTTGCGAATATCGCCAAATAGATAACCACTGCAAGCGAGGTTTTCTGGGACGGATGGAAAGAGATCAAGGACAATCAAACTAAGACATGGCACGGAGGTATAGTAAACCCCATCAGGATACTGGGTCACATAGGTCCCGCTAGGCTGGCTGGAGACTCCGAGGTCATGGTCACCGATGGTTAGAGGCACAGCGATATGGCTGGGTGTCGCAAACAGTGGTGCTACTGCAAATACTCATTATTCTTGCAACCTCAATCTATACGAATTCTTCATCTTCCCTATGACTGCTCTCAACATTCCAATTTTCATTCTGCTCTTTTACTCATGTCGGCAGTCTAAAGACAGCAGCCGAAACCGGCACATGAAAATGTATGGTGGATTGTTCTGAAAGCTGGAACAGTAAAGATCTTAGTAGACCTCATGCTTCGTCTCAGGCGAACCGCAATCAGTCGGATAGGACGATCAATCATCGACGCATCATTCTGCAGCTATGAACCTGTGTCAAATCATCCTGACGCACGGTGCAGTCGGTTATTAACCGGAATCTACTCAAGTGTTCCGCCTTAGCGCAATCGCGACACCAGCAACGTGAGTTTCAGGTACCCAATCGCCTGACACGAAGAGTGGAGCGTGCGAATGAGTTTGGGTTAAAAGAATCCAAGGCGGTAACTGTAGTAGGGTCTTGTATGCGCATTTCGGAGACATCATAATCGTATGGTGGGTTACAGTGAAGCGGAATTTGCTGATTACTCGTAAAGGACAACGTATATCCGGGCTGTTAAGTCACTGCCAGCTAGGCCAAACGAAGAAACAATCGTTCGTAACATTCCAGCGGATGGATATTTCTACTCGCCGATTCAAAGTAGAGACCATAAAGCAGAACTGAACAAACGGGGATACAATATACAGGACTTATAAGCTTCGGTGAAACATCACCCCCTGTCCACAGGCGTTATTCCTGCGTAATCTGTTAGAACACTTTCGTAAGGATTTCTCTCCGTCTTACTATCACCCAATCAAGAAAGAAAAACCGAATAGATTAATTTAAACTCACTTTTGAAAGTCAAGTAAATATTAAAATGCGACGGAAACTAAGTGTACAAGTAATCGATATAACTCCAGTGAGCAAGTAAAAAGACAACCAAACCACTAGGTCATCAAGCTGCAACGAATCACTTGAATATGTTGATGAGGATATATACGAATTCAACGTTCATTGACATTCATGCGTAAACTTACTTCAAAAAGTCCGTTACGAGGCGCGGTACTGCGACAGCTGGCTGCGCCCCCGTAGGTAGTTTTTGCGCGGTAAAATAAGGACATCCGGTCAGATTCACAGAAGCTGCTTGAGGACCGATCGCAAGAGATCCTCTGTCTCTTCGTCGGACGAGAAATTGGTGAATCCGGTCGACGATATCCATGAGATAATATCCAAGGTGTGACAGACGACGGTCTGAATGTTGACGTAGATTCAATGGAATCCATAGCATCCGAACAAGTTGCGCTACGCGAGTGAGCAACATATCTGCCTGTGGCGTCACCAACAGGAGCAGAATGCGTGCCGCATTTAATTCCTGACGTTTTGACATTTCGGGGGATTAAAGACGACACACCACTGGTTGATGAATGGGCACTTAGCTCGCCCTCTGAAGTTTCTACAGCGTCTAAGTCAACATTGGTGTTCCGGAGACTGTCCATCACAGTGAAAGTCTGAGTGTCACAATCCCGCACGTTCATTGCATCACGGCTGCATCCCGTGCTGTCCGTAGTACACTGAGGCACGGACCCGTTAGGAGCATCCGAAGAATATACATCCTAAACGACTAATTACTGAATACCAGAAGACACCTACCGTGTTGTTGGAACCAAATAAATTAGACGGCACGAAGGATGATATTGAGTCAGCAATCAAACGGAACAAAGACTACAAAAGAAAGAGACGTTAGAGAAGCCAAGAACAGTTTGAGGAACGTCGAGAAATGTTACGATGCACTAACCTTTCGCCTTTTTATTGAACCAGGCGGACCCAAACGATGCTGGGACCGGTCACCCATGGTCAAACGCAAAAATCCGTGCGAACCGCCTTTGGGGAAATTTGAGCATTAAAACAAAATGCCATTTTGAAGTTGCAATATCTCTAAGTTTAGGTTATCTACTAGTTATTGGTTGAATATTAGGTGTCACAAGCCATCAGGAGAATTTCAAATAGCTCTAAGTAGACTATAAGGCATGATATCATTTCAGTTCGTTTCGGTGCCCAGGACGGTGACGGCAAATTCAAATTCAAATCACAGGACGTAGAGAAGCCTTCGCCTGTTGGGTGTCCTGGTAATGGCGGGTTCCGTCTGTGGACCGACTCGCCTGCGAGTGTAAAGCTTCTTCCGACTCTCCACGAGGGAGTAATATCTGGAAGGTGGAAAGGAAAGGGAGACGGCGCAGTATCTGTTATGTGCATTCCATCAGTAAACTTAGGGAACCCTAATCCCTAGGGCAGTTCTGGGAATAAGAGGTACCACTCCTTGTCCAGCTCAAGTTTGAAAGCCTTCATTGAAGGATAATCAACTATTCGAGCTGGTAGTTTGTTCCATGCAGGGACTACTCTATTTGCAAAGAAGTGATGTCTAATTGCTAGCCTACACCTGGTTCTGTCTAGTGTGTAACAGTGCCCTCGGAGGATGTTGTTGGCCCTCAGGGTGAACAGATGTCGGCAGCTTGTGGTAACTCTGTCAGTCTGCCAGTTTGCACAGGACAGGAGATAGCCACAGCACATTGAGCGTCCAGAGTTCCTTCAGTGGTAAGCCACGTATTGGCTCCTACCACTGCGAGTGTTTAACATTACAGTTCTTCACGCTGTAAGGGTTGGCGTACCGTATCAATTCGAATGAGTATGTGCGAAAAGGTTAAGAGTTCAGTAGGGATGAACACCTTCC